GTCAAGTAAATCAATTTATGTCAGAAGTTTCTAAATTTCCAGAAAATACTTTGGGCATTTATGTGACAAATAATAAAGTGTCGAAAAATTCTTTAAAAGTCGCGAAATCAAGTCAAAATATCATAGTTACAAATTTGATCGAACTCAATAATGCTATCGGTTCATATTTTGAATTTAAAAAGAATTCTGATCAAGAAATTTGGAAACTCATGATGAGGAGAATTGATGAATTAAACAATAAGTTTGAATCTTTTGAAACTCTCTTTTTAAAGCTTTTTGTTGCATTTTTAATGCTTTTTGTTGTATTAGTCTTTTTTTTAATGGCAGCTGGAGAGTAAGTTTATTAAAATTACAATTAAATTTTCTTAGAATTTATTTACAATCAAGAGTATAATTCTATTTATTTCCCGGATTATAGGTTAAAACTATCCCTGATGATTAATGTTGTGCTCCAATTCATCTTACAATTAAAGGATATTTTTTATTATTATAGCTTTTAAGATTTTTTTTGGATTTTTTTGTTAAAAATTCAAAAATTTTGATTTACTCAGTAATTACGTAATAGCATCAAGAAATACTTTCAATTGGTTAATTTAAATTTTTTTAGCTTATAATTTTTTTTTAATTTTAAAAGGTTTTTTATTTTTTGATTTTTGACAATGTTAACCAATTCATATATTTTTTGTATTTGGAAAATTGATCACTAAAATAAAAACATTAATTTGAATTTTACAATACAATTATTGTTGCTTAAAAAAAGCATCTGAATATTTGCATTTTGCAACTATAAGAAATCTTTATCTCTTATAAATTTTTGGTTATATGCGATTTTTTTAACATATGCGAAGTATACGTACAGTAATGTTTAACCATTTTGTGGTCAGAGGAATTTAATAATAATTGCCTTAGACATATTTTACACATAGATTACCTTTATAAATTATGCAATGAGCATAATTATTGTCGCGGTTGATGCTGAAATTGGCTGATGCTGAAATTTCGATATGAAATTTTAAAATTTTTTTCCCACTTTTTTAGGGTTGGATTAGGAATTTGACTAGAATTTCTAATTAAAGTATATGTGGATTTTAGCAGGGCCTATATTTTCAAATCGAAAC